GGAAGCAGATTCTGATTCAGAACAAGGGAGAATTTTCTAGCAGTTGTGTGGGAGAATGGGAAAGCCTGACTTACAAAGTGAGAGAGTTCTCTGTAATGAGAGAATTGGGGAAGCAGCCAACTGATTGTTTCTGAAGGAGGGTTTAGAGCTCACTGACGGTTAGCCATCAGTAGTAGCAAAGGGGGACTGGTGTTATTTTTAGAAATTGTTATGGCTTCTAATCCTGTTTATGACCAAGGCAGACCAGTTTGTTGAAAATGGCAACATATGCCCTGATAGTACAGAGCTCTGTAAGGAGAGGGCATGCCACAGAAGAAGAGTGGCATCTCCCAAGAGAGGTCAACACAAGGTTGAGGGAACTTCCTGTTTCTACTCTTGTTCCCTATAATTTATTCTATATTCAGCAGGCAGTGTTCTTTATAAGTTGTAGATAGGGGCTTAAAACCCTCTACTGGTTTTCCATAGCAATTGGAATAAAATTTCAAATTTTTTTCATGGCCTGCATGATCCATTGTGGCCTCTGTTCCTCAGATATGCCAAATGCACTCTTATGTAAGGGCCTGTTATTTTTCTGTTCCTGTGCTTAGCATGTGCTTCCCTCGCATCTTAAAGGCTGGAATCTTCTAGTCATTCAATTCACAGCTGAAATGAAACCTCACCCAGAAGACTTCCCTGACCTCTCCATTTAAAATACCCTTCTCCTACACACTTGAGAGTTTGTTTACTTATGTATTTCCTTCAAACCTCTTTCACTAGAATGAACGTTCTGTGAAAGCAGTTATCTTGTTTTGTGTGCTGATACATCCCTAGAGCCTAAAACAGTGGTACTTGGTAGGTATTTGAATATTATCTTAACAGGTGAATGAATGGATGGGTAGTGCATTTTTTGAGCTGAGCCCTCATGGATTAGAATTTTGGGAAGGTAGAGATTTTGGTAAGACATTACTAAGAGGAACTCACATCTGTGATAAGGTGAAATTATCATGTATATTTGGAAATTAGTAGTGAGATTTCTGTTTGGCAAAAGCACAGATATGTGCAGGAGAGAAGAGGGGAGAAAAAAATGGACAAATTTCTTCTGGCCAGTTATGGAAAGTGAAGAATTATACTTTCTTCCATTATCAGTTGGTGTCCTTGAAGGGTGTCAATCAGAGGCATACTGTACTGTTGTGTAAACTTTGATTATGGAAAATTTCAAACATATATAGATGTAGAGAGAATAGTAGAGTGAACCCCATGTACCTATCTCTTAGCTTCAGTATTGCCTCATGACTACCTCCCCATCTCCTGCCAGATTATCTTGATGCAAATACCAGAGTTGAAAGCATTTTGTCCATAAATGTTTTAGCAAGTATCTCTAAAAAACAGAATTCTCTTATTTAAACAAACCCAAAATACTATTTCACATTTAAAAAAAAAAACAAAAAAGACCCTTGATATCATCAGATTCCCTCAGTTGTCTAAAAATCCTATTCTATAGTTCATTTATTTGAATCAGATTCCAAATAAGGTCCATATGGTATAGTTGATGTCTTCAAAATTCACAAGATTTTGAAGACTTGGTACACAAAAAAAGAATATAAGAAACATTAATTTTTTTCACATTTATTGCTTATTAAAGTGGTAATATTATAGATATATTGAATTAATGCAATATTTTATTAAGATTTCACCTGCTTTTTACATTTTTAAATGTGATTTCTAGGAAATGTTAAGTCCTATCTTTGACTCATTATATTTCTATTGACAACATTGGTCTAGACTTAGGCTTGATCACATTGTTCTTTATTTTTTTGTAGTACAGATGATGTTCAGTTCTATTGAGAGGCACATAATATCCAGTTTTCCTTTTTGTGATGTTAACAGCCATTGATGATCCATCCTTAGATCTGTTGATTTATTAAGAGCTGAAAACTGGTGACATTCTAATTATGTCATCCCCTCTTCGTTTACAACTGGCTTTCTTCCAAAAAGAGCAACTTCTCCTTAGCAGCTCTTTGGTTATCCCTAAGACAGTTTGCATAGAAAAGGCAAGATACTGATTAGTTTCCGTTTAGTAACTAGTTTTCAGAGTTTTTATTTCTACCCTTTTTGAATGCAGGTTCTCTTACTTCTAATGGAAAACATTCATCTCAGGGAAAAGAGTTGCTGAGTCTTTTTTGTTTTTTCTCATTACCTCATGTGGGCTATCTCTACATGGTTGTCAAATCTGTTGAGTTAATGTCAATCTACCAGTATCCTGAGAAGTCTCAGCAGGCTGTGCTCACGCCACAATTCCTCCATGTCATCACAAGGTACTGTTATAGTGTCACTTGCTAGTTTTTGAGTCATTTTATTTTTCTGTGAATTCTTGAGGTGTTTCCCAAATCTTTAAGGGAGAATTGTGTGTTCCAAAATACAGCACTATAATGATTTACATCTATCTTTTCATATCTGTCTTTTGATGGTCCATACCTGCTTGTTGAAGTTTTTGTTTTGTTTTCTTAGATTGGGTGGGGATCTTTGTAAGGAAGTATCAGGGAAGGTTTTCATAGAAAATTCTAATGAAGTCAGTGGGACCAATCAGGGTGTCTGTTTAGGTTTCTTTTTAGATTTTCTGATTTTTTTTTTTTTCCCCTCACTGCTGTCATACTCTTTCAGTATGAATCAAGTTATTTTTTTACTGGTTTAGAATCATATAATCTGATGGTACCCTGTGATTGTTAAAGATGGTGTTCTGGTTACGTAGTGCCACTCTGACAGGAATATACTACAAATGGGATGGCTTAAAGAAACAGGAGTTTATTCTCTTAAGTTTGGAGGCTTTAAGTCCAAGTTCCAAGTGCCAGGCTCTAGGGGCTGGGTGAAAGCCCCTCAACCTTGGGCTTCAGCTCTGCCTCCTGCTCCCGGCCCACTGAAGCTAGAGGCTTTTCTTCACTCAGACAGCTACTGGCTGCTGAGACTGACAAGCCCAAGGTTGATTAATAAAAAGGCACAGTCCCAATGTTACCAGACCACACGGCACGCCATTAACTCAAGTCCATTGAAAGTCGCAAGGTTGACAGATCATGGCAGGCTGCTGAACAATGACACGGCTACATGAAGGGTTCAAGTGTTCCATAAGCTAGAGACCATTCCCCAAGGCTTCTGCTTATATACAGGAAGCAGACCACATCCCTAAGGTAGCTACTCAGCTGCTCACAGTAGATTCCACCATGGAGTTGATTACCAGTCTTATGGGGAATACTACATCCAGCTGCCCAGCCAGTCAACCAGGCCCAGCCAAGTTGACACACAGACTTAACTACCGTCGATGGGAAAATAGTTACAAGAGGTTGGGATTGGCCACAGTCATCAGGCTGATACCTGATGTCTTCTAATTCTCCTTTCCCTCATATGTAGGCATGTGAACTGGGTTCCTGAGCAGAGATTTGATTTCATTTTCTTTCATGTCAGCAATAAGTGGTGTTTTTGGCTCTATTTTCTGTTTTTTGAGCTTAGTTTATGTTGAACGCACTGCTTTGGACCTTCTGCCAAGTAACCATGAATAAGATAGCCATGTGCCTTGAAAATCAACAACATAAAGAGAGCCAAAAACACATACAAGGGGCCAAACACTATGAGATTTGTGAAAAATATCTTAAGGGATCATGAAGGTACAACAGGCACTAAGAGGAGAGAAGTAACTTCTGGCTGAGTCATGTGGAAAAGTTGAAGTGAGGCCCAAAGCTAGTTAGAGTTTTGGCAGATGCAGATTGGAAGAGAAGAACATTATAAATTGAGGGAGGACTATAATCAAAGGCTACAATCCAGTTTTGATGGAACATCTAATGATAAATTACATAGAACAGTGATTTTTGTAAAAAAATTTTTTCAACATGGTGGTAGTACCAAAATCTTCAGTAGGTGCCAGTGTATATTTTAGACGGCACAAGACCAACCTGGGGATTGTGACACCTGTTCCTACAGTGGGTTCTCCCTCCCTCTCTTTGGTGTAAAGAGAGATACTGCTGATGGGAGTTTATTGCTTAAGTGAACCATGTAGAGATAACTTGTCTTTACACTTTGCAAAGTGTTGTGTAGTGGTGTTCTTTAAATGTGAAGAAGCTGAAGAGGAGAGACGTTGTAATGATGCTTATAAGGTAGCTCAGGGCTTTGAAAATTAAACAAGGATTTCTTTTGTGTATATAGTAATATTATCTATACACACACACACACACACATATATATTAGAATATTTGCCATTTTAACCATTTTTATATGTATAATTCAGTGACATTAGTTACAGTCACCATGTGGTGCAACCATCACAATCAACTAAGGAAAGTTTGAAGGTTTTGAGCAAAGAGAGTGAAATGATCAGAGCTTTACTTTAGGAAAGTGAATGGTGGCTATTATGGGAGATGGATGGCATATGGAGAGATAAATAAGCTATTGTAATGGATCAGGTGGGAAATAAGGAAGGTCTGTATTTGGACAGGGCAGTGGCAGTGAGAGGAGAGGGAAAGGTGGATGCCAGAATCTTCAGTGGGAGAGTTGCAAGACAGTATCCTAATGGAATAACAAATGGAATGGGCATCAAAAATCCCACCATGGTTTGGGGCCCGCTTTTTGGAAAGAGTGGAGGTTGCATTAGTGAGAGGCAAAATCTGGTTTAGACATTTGTGTTTGAGGTGCCTGTGGAACAGTCAGAAGGGAGTGTTCAGTAGCATTTTGCACATATAGGGCTGAAGATTAAGGAAGAGGGAAAAGCTGGGTTTTTTTACACCATTGATTAAGAGAGGATTAAGTAGTAAGCTTTGGGAGCTCTGGTGGCATAGTGTCTAAGGCATTTGACTGCTAACCAGAGGCTGGCAGTTCAAACCCACCAGCTACTCCTCAGAAGGAAGACTGAGCAATCTACTTCCATAGAGATACCACCTCAGAAACCCAAGGAAGGGTCACTTTGAGTCGAACTGACTCGACGGCAGTGAGTTTTTTTTTTTTTTGAAATAGTGAGCATTACCTAAAGAATGTGTAGACAGAGAAAAGTAGTTGGAGAACTAAATGCTAGTGAAGGTCATGTTTAGGGAGCAAGAGGAGGAAGAAAAGATCTTTAAGAAAGCAGGAGAGAACCTAGGATATTACAGGATCTCAGAAAGCAGGGAAAAGAAAGATAAAAAAAAAGGAAGGAATTAAAATGTTAGTTTCTGTCCCCAAAATCTTCCCCACCCATAATCCCACTCTCCAGAGTCAGCTGATTCAACAGATTGGTGCATATTTATAAAACTTTTAAAAATAGTATGTATACTGGTACGATTTATTTTTTGACAGGAGTCATATATTATGCTCACTGTTCAGCAACTTGCTGTTTCACAAGTTAGGACATTTTTCCATGAGAGTACATACCAATTTACTTTATTCTTTTCTTAGTATTCCAGTAACTGACACTTGGATTAGTGTAGGTGGAAGGATCTGTGGAGGTCAATCAGGACCTTACTTTTTTATTCCTAGAACCTACATATCTTTTTGGTCATTGCTGCTTCAACTGTCATTGTGGTCCCAGTGCGGGTGCATCTTTTGCTCCCCATTTTCTCAAAGCTTCTTCTCTGCAGTTTACTTCCGAAGAATGCTTACTCTTTACTTCAGATTTTTAAGTACTTCTACTGTCTTATCTGTTGTCATGACCCACCATTGCACCTGTGAAAACGTCCCCATGATGGGCTTGCTGGTAATTACTCACTGGCTCTCTCCTCTTCTTTAGTAACAATCTGCAGTGTTTTACTGTGCGGTGCAGTGCAGCGGCAGCTCGTGAGGAAGACCCATACGTGGATACCACCCTGAAGGTTAGAACTGGATCATGGTACCAGTGAAACTGTAAGATCAAAAGGACCATATGAATGAATACTTGCAAATTTGCTCTCTGGCCTATGCTTATTAAATATTAAAGATCTTAAGGTTGTCTTGTTTATTGAGTTTAGGACTTTTGGATATAGAAATTAAGCATTTGGTGATTCGTGGTCCTGATAATAATTTTTAAGATTATTTCAAAAACATATCCTTCAGACTTGGTTTAGTGCATAGTTTTTTGTTTTGTTTTGTTTTCCATGTATTCATTTGCTTTATTTATTTATTTTTAAATTTTATCTTTGGTAAAAATATGCACAGCCAAATCTGCTCCCATCCCACTGTTTCTAGAGGTAATGATCAGTGAAATTGGTTACATTCTTCACAGTGTCACCATTCTCTTATTTCTGTTCTTTTTTACTGTCATTTACATAATGTCTACCCCTCCCCTAGCC